CAGGGACAGGAGGAGACTCAGTGGTCAGGGTGTAGAGGCTCGACCCCGGCCGACGCGTAAACGTGGCCAGGTGCCGGCCTGTGCGAGCGTCCGAGCAGTGGGTCACCCGCTGACTCGCAGGAGTAAACTGGTGAACCCCCGCATCCTGCAAGTCAGCACCACTCACCAAGTTCGTAGAGAACGAGGGGAGGTAAAGACCAGACAAGGTGCCAGAGGGGGCAGCCGGACACGGGAGGACAGTGGAGAAGTGAGAGAGGACAGAACTCCCAGAGGGGTCTGCCAGGGAGACTGCAACCGGCCGACCAAGCGGCGTGAGTGTGGTGTGGTCTCGAAAGAAGGAGCGAGAAGCCCCTGAGTCAAGTGTGAAGGTGAGGGAGGCCGAAGCCGACGCGGTACCTGAGAGCGCAGACTCACCAGTACCTGAGGACGCAGACGCACTGGCACCTAGAGCAACAGCCGCACTAGCACCTAGAGCAGCAGCCTCACCAGCACCTAGAGCAGCAGTCTCAATGCCCGGATCGGGCGGGAAACACCGGTAACAGTCACCCTCGTCACTGTAAGTCACAGCATAGATGGCACCAAGAATAGTATCAAAGTCAAGATCAAAGATAGCTACACCTGCCCTAGACAGCTCTCCCTAGCGGGGGATCTTAGCGGCCTCCGGGAACTGGTGACGCCAAGCGTCCGTCAGGCGGCCAAAGCAGCGCTTGGTGGAGTGGGCACCCCCACACTGCTCACCCGCGCGGTCGCCGGTGCAAAGGACGTAGGTGCACGGACCAAAACCCCCACCACGCTGACCCGCAACGTACCACTCACGGAGCTGCTGAGGGGGGGGGATGTCCCGAGAACGCTGCTGCTGCTGCTGCTGGCGCTGACCACCTTCAGAGCCGCTCCGCTGCGAAGCGCCACCCCGACCAGCTCCACCTCCTCCACCACCGCCTCCTCCACCTCCGCCACCACCGCCGCCTCCGCTCCCACCGCTTCCGCCTCCGCCGCCTCCGCCTCCACTGCTGCCACCGACACCTCCACCCCTGCCACCACTCCCACCGCCACCCCCACTCCCTCCGCCGCCTCCACCGCCACCTCCGCCACCCCTGCTAGCTCCACCCGCGCCCTTGCCCCCTTTGCCCTTGCCAGAGCGGCGTCTCCCGCTAGGGGCACACGCCGCACCGACCGACTCAAGACCAACAAGGTCGGCCGCAACAGCAGAGGCGATAGAGGGCAAAGGGGGGGAAGGGGAACACCCCTCAAAGATGGGGGTGCGAGGGTCACCACGAGAGGCTCCTACAGCGAGTATGCTCTTCTCTGCTGCTAGGAGGGCCTTCTCTAGGAGGTCAACAGTGAGAGTTGTGGGACAGACCGAGAGGAAGTGGTCCCTGACTACACGAAGGGAGTCAGGGAGGCGGGTGACTATATAATAGAGAGTGATGTACATGGGGGGGGGTTCTTGGCGCAGAACTCAGCAGAAAGCGCAGCGCGGTAGCGAGTGTCACTAGTGCGGAGGTGCGTAATGAGGTCAGCGACTGTGGGAAAGGCAGGAAGGTCAGGGAAGAGGTATGGCAGCATGAGGCGGCTCAGTGCAGCAGTGGCAGGGGAAGAGTAGCGCGCAACTACGGCGTCGTACAAGGTCTGAGCACTCTTGTACTGACTAAAGTGTGCGCGCTCAGTGGTAGGCAGGTGGCGACGCACAGCAAGACGTGCAGCAGCATCGCGAGTGGCCCACTGGGAGCGAACAGTGGCATCGGCATCGGCAGCAGGGGCAGGGGAGGCACCAGAGGTGAGGTCAAAGAGGGAGAGACCGTCTGCCCTATCGCACTATAGGAAAAGCTGCAGGTCATCTACCCAGACCTCAAAGTCAATGGCCCAACCGTTAGCGTCAAAAGCGAGAACACTGGGGGTGGCCATGACAGCAGTAGGCTTGTAGTGCTAACTGTAGGACAGGGGCAGTGCGGTGACAGAAGCGCTGCTCTCACCAGACAGGGCGGTTCGGGCAGCTCGGCAGCACAGCAGCACGTCAACACGGCAGCTCGGGCGACTCGGGCGGCTCAGCAGCAACTACGGCTCGGCGGCACCAGCGGCTCGGCTCCTCTGCGGCTCAGGCGGCTCGGGCGGCTCGGGCGGCTCGGGCGGTTCGGTCGGCTCGGGCGGCTCGGGCGGAACGGACGGCTCGGGCGGCTTGGGCGGCTCGGGCGGCTCGGGCGGCTCGGTAGGGCGGCGGGGCCGTAGTGAAGGGCGGCGGGGCCGCAGCGAAGGGCGGCGGGGCCGCAGCGAATGGCGGCGGGGCCGCAAGGTAGGCGGCGGGGCCGCAGCGAGAGGGGCGGCGGGGCCGTAGCGAGAGGGGCAGCGGGGCCGCAGCAAAGGGCGGCAGAGCCGCAAGGTAGGCGGCGGGGCCGCAGCGAGAGGGGCGGCGGGGCTGCAGCGAAGGGCGGCAGAGCCGCAGGGTAGGCGGCGGGGCCGCAGCGAGAGGGGCGGCGGGGCCGTAGCGAAGGGCGGCGGGACCGCAGCGAAGGGCGGCGCGGCCGCAGCAAAGGGCGGCGGGGCTGCAGCGAAGGGTTGCGGGGCCGCAGCGAAGGGCGGCGGGGCCTTAGGGAAGGGCGGCGGGGCCGCAGTGAAGGGCGGCGGGGCCGCAGCGAAGGGCGGCGGGGCCGCAGCGAAGGGCGGCGGGGCCGCAGCGAAGGGCGGCGGGGCTGTAGTGAAGGGCGGCAGGGCCGCAGCGAAGGGCGGCGGGGCCGCAGCGAAGGGCGGCGGGGCCGGGACAGGGCGGCGCCGGGGCCGTAGGGCGAGGCGACGGGGCCGTAGGGCTAGGCGACGGGGCCGCTAGGACGATGGGGCCGCTAGGGCGACGGGGCCGCTAGGGTGACGGGGCCGCTAGGGCGGCTCGACGCAGTGAGAGAGAGGAGCGCGACCCGGGCTGAGCGCGCTCTGGGCAGGAAAAAAAAAACTCGATGTGGTGGGCCCTAGGCACAGTTCCCACTAGGGAACCTGCTCGATACCATGAGAAAACTGAAACGAGAATGATTGACTAAGGAACGAAAGTGATACAAATATGCAACCCTAGAAATGTGTAGCCCATATAAGCTACCCCACTATAGCCTACACAACATTATAATTTGACACTTAGGTGAGTGGCAGAGGTGTGGGAGTCTATTCCCACTGCTCTAGTTGCAAATTCATTCAAAACATGTGGCCTGTCGAATGCAATCGATGGCTCACACGACCATCTCACTCTTGGACACCTCAAGTCGGGCAGTGAGGTGGATGTGTCAGACAATGCGGACCCTATGGGGTGGGCTGGGGACAACAGCACCATGTCTCGTCTCCCAGCAAACGGTGAGGAGACAGAGGGTGCCGAGGAGATAGAGGCTGATGAGGAGGAGCTAGAGGGTGCGGCAGAAGAGGAGGAGGGAGTTGATGAGTTTGAGGAAGAGTGCCGGTGGCGGGAGGATGAAGATGACCCTACCGCATACGCCCCTTTTATCGAGGGCGGGTAGAACAAGCCCTCATAGGGGCAGTCCATTAACTTGAGTAGGTAGCAGTCCCTTATTATGAGTAGGAAGCAGTGCAGTATCCTGAGTACCGTATCCCCCTAGAACCCTCTTCATAACTGGGGAGATGAGAGCTGGGGAAAGTGTTTGCTAGGTAATTATTGTATGGTAATTTGCAACAAACAAGAAGTTCCCCAAACCAAACCACAAATGGGGGGGAAGGGGAGGGGGGGAGGGGGGGGAGGGTTTAATCCTGAATGCAATCCAAAAAGGGGGGTCTAATACGGAAGTGGAGATAGCATTAGACCCCCCCCCCATTTAACGACCTGGGGGTCTATAATTTTGGGGGGGTTTCTTAGCCGGTTAAATACGGTATCTGTTTCAGAGATCGACCGCTTTGCAGCCCGCCAAGTCTATCACGAGGGTAGCATAGGAATGTAGTTCCGATGCCAAGTATTCTGAGTTGTGATAGAAGAGTGTATAGAATGCATTCTCGTAGAAGTGATTACAACTAATGAATGAATAATGAAACCTCGCACAGATAGAACCAAAAGTCTAGTTAGGTGGGCTACGTGGGGTTACGATGGTTGGGTGCTGGTTCAGGGTTGCCAAAGCCCGAAGGCCAAGGCCCAAAATTGGTTTTTGGCCACCCTGGGAAATCAGGGTCCGAACCGGGCCTACCCTAACTGCTAAGGTAAGAAACAAAATACCCGAACAAATTCAGGGTAGATGATCATTTAGTCTGTCTGTGGCAGGGTAAAATCTTTGGTGCCCTGAAAAAACGTCTAATCATGTTTGATGAGCTAATTACACATGCAGTTGTGGCTCAGCTGGTAAGTATGGTTAGGTCTAGGGATCAAATCCTCGTATCGGAGGATAGATATCCAGCAGACTCGCGGTACTAGTGGTCCGGTGTAAGGGTGTTTTGCATGGCACCTTTTCTATACAGGATGAATGCTTTGAAGTACTGATTCGAAGGGTAAAAAAAAAAGTACACTTTTGAAGAAAGGGGAGTACGAAGAACACACTTACAAAATCAGGGCAATCTCTGAAAATCGGCCCATAGTAAGGGCAATCAGGGCATTTTACCCTTCAATTTTGGGCCCTGCCGAAGGCGACGCGGGGTACGTCTTGGAGACGAGGGCATTGGACTGAGCCTGGTCTTCCAAACGTCGAGTTGTACGCGCATGGAGTGACCTAGTAAGGAATTAGGCAAAGAAATCTTTCACCGGTTGCATCACCGATATGAATTGACATCCACGTCCACTCAACCCAAACATTATTTTATTAATTTACTGAAACAGTCTTTTTGTTCGAAAAATCATGAATTGAACATTTGGACCTGCATGTCGCAAAACACCATCCCATATAAGAATACGCGCTGTCAGTCCATACATTTGTGTTTGTCGTATTCTGGCTGCTTTCGACTAGTTCTCTCCCAACATCTACTAGGCGCGGATCTACCTTGACTTGCTCACCTCCGCCCACCAAACCCAGCCATCCGTCTCGCCCGCCATGTCGGCGGGCAAGCGCTATCGCGCGGAGCCCTCGCGGAAGACGGTGATGCTGGAGGTGGGCGAGTCGCTCCGCCAGGCCAGCCGCACGGGGGAAGCCGGCAGTGGCGGAATCGGCCGCGGAGGGACTTCCGCGGGTCGTTCTCTCGGCCGTGCGAGTGGCGGCGAGCGGAATGCGAATCTGAGCTCGCCGCCAGCCGCGGAGGTCTCCGTGGACGGGGGAGGCCCCACGGGCGAAGCGGGTGGGCTTGAGCGAGGGGAATGGCCGCGACAGGCGGCGCTGAGCGCGGAGACGCGCGCGAGGAGCGGGCCACCGACGGGCGTGGGGGGTAGGGGGAACGGAAGAGGGGTAGGCGGAAGGAAGGGGGCGAGCGAGGACGCGCGGAGAGCGGGGGTAGCGGGTGCGCGGGGCGGTTCCGGGATGGGCGGGGGCAGCGCGGCAGCAAGGGGGTGGGCGGGTGACGCGTCGCTGGAGCGGCTGCAGCGCGAGGCGACGAGCTACAGGCTGTGGGGCGCGGGGGGGACAGCTGGCGCCACGTCAGCAGCAGCAGGGGCGGCGGACGCAGACGCCACACAGCCCGCCACGCCTCCGCTGAAGCTACCAGAGCGGTTTGGATCGGTGGAGGAGTATGTGGGGGCGTTTGAGCCGCTGCTGTTTGAGGAGGCGCGCGCCCAGGTGGCGAGCAGCTGGGAGGAGGTGGACGGCGGCGAGGGGGGCGGCGGGCGCGCAGGGGGAAGCAGCGCGGGCGTGGCAGTGCGCGTGGCGTCGCTGGAGGCCACCCACCGAGGTGACTCCCGTCCCCTCCCCCCTTCCTCTGCCCCCCTGCTGCTCCACTCGCCTCGCCTTGCACACACCCTCACCCTCTGCTCTTGCCTCTTTCCTTTCGCCTCTCAGTGCGCTTTGCTGTTCACACCACCTCCCACCGCGCGCCACCACGTGCACCACCTTTCTTCCCGCCTTGAGTTGAGTCCTGAGCCGCTCAAAGCACACGTTGCGGCGCCACCACCCTCCCCACCCCAGGCTGGCACGAGATGCTGCTACAGCTGCTCGGCGAGCAGCAGCAGCAGCAGGGGGGGCGGCGGGCGGGGTGGAAGGAGGGCGAGTGGAAGGATGGTGACGTGGCTGTGCTGTCCACTGCACGGCCAGCAGCCAGAGATGATGGTGGGAGTGATGACGGCTCATGCCCATACTCCCATCCATGGCCATACTCCCATGCCCATAATCCCATCCATGGCCATACTCCCATGCCCATACTCCCATGCCCATACTCCCATGCCCGTACTCCCATCCATGCCCATACTCCCATGCCCATACTCCCATGCCCATGCTCCCATGCCCATACTCCCATGCCCATACTCCCATGCCCATACTCCCATGCCCATACTCCCATGCCCATACTCCCATGCCCATACTCCCATGCCCATACTCCCATGCCCATACTCCCATGCCCATACTCCCATGCCCATACTCCCATGCCCATAGTCTCATGCCCATGCCCAATTACATGCCCATGCACATGCCCATGCTCGTCCTCTCGTTGCTGTTCTTGACATGACTCCCTTCCCTTCCTCTCTGCGCCCCTCACAAGCCTTCATCCTCTCCACTCTGCCCGCCACTCACTCCGCCATGCAGACCAATCACGCTCATCACCACTACAGCCACCCCAGCAGCTGCGCATAGCTGGCATCGGGCGGCGCTGCTACGAGCCCATGCAGGACGACCGCGGTGCCGCCCGGGCCACCTTCATTTTTACCTTCCACGAGTCCGCCCTGCCGCCCGAGTATGTCGCCCTGCCGCCCGAGTATGTAGCCCTGCCGCCCGAGTATGTAGCCCTGCCGCCCGAGTATGTAGCCCTGGCCCCCGCATGTGCTGTCCTGCCGCCATCATACCTTTTCACATTCCCTTGCCCCATGCATGCCTCTCCCCACACCCCTTGCGCCTCCCCCTGTCAGCGAGCCTGTGTCTCTCCTCAGTGAGGTCAAGAGCAGGAACCTTCCGTGCACCTTCATGCCAGTGACCTCGCTGACGACGGCGCAGAGGGAGTTCTCCTCCCTGCACTCCGTGGCGCACCTGCAGCCCCAGGTGAGGTGAGGTGCGGTGAGGTGAGGTGCGGTGAGGTGCGGTGAGGTGAGGTGAGGTGGCGCATGTGTAGCCCCAGGTGTGTGCATCTGCAGGCATACGCACCTCGTGTTGCGATAGTTCGTCATCTCGGATCGACTCATTGCCTGCATGCACTCTGTTCTCGATTTTGATTTCTACTCCTCCACACATCTTCCTTCCTCCCACTTCCACTTCATGTGTTTCATCAAACCCACTGCCATGCGCACTGCCCACCGCATGGTCTTGTTCTCAGCCCTCCTCCCCACACCATTGACCGAATAATTTCGCCTTCATTGTCCTTGGTTCCCCTGTCCCTCCCTCCTGCCCTCAACCATCCCCCCCCTTCTTCAGATGCTAGAGGCGGTGCTGCATCCAGGCCTTTCAGCCACATCACCAGCAGAGTTGAAAGGCAGGCCCACATCTCTTCCCCAACTATGTCAGCCAGCTGCCGCCTCCCTCCATCCATCCTTCCCTCCAACCCCCCCTTCCCCTCCCCCCCGTCAGATGCTGGAGGCCGTGCTGCGCCCGGGTCCGCACCTCTTCCCAGACTACGTCACCGAGATGCCGCCGGACCTCTCCGCCGTCTTCCCGCCCGCCTTCTGTGCGCACCTGCAGGCCTCCTTCAACGCGCCGCAGCTGCAGGCCATCCACTGGGCCGCCGCCCACACCGCCGCCCACACGCCCGCTGCGCCTGCCAGTGCAGCCGGCACTGCTGCCTCCAGCCGGTCGGGGTCGGGAGGTGCGGGGGGCAGCAGCAAGGGCGGGTGGCCGTTCACGCTGGTGCAGGGGCCGCCGGGGACGGGGAAGACGCATACGGTGTGGGGCATGCTCAACGCCATCCACCTCGTGCACTACCAGCGCTACTACCACTCGCTCCTCGCCAAGCTCGCCCCCGCCGCCTCCGCCACTTTCCTACCCGACGACCCACCGTCGGCAGGTGCCGGCTCGGAAGGTGCCGGTTCAGCGGAGGCGGTAGTTTCGGGAGGGGGCAGCATAGAGGATCTGCTGGAGAGCATGGATCAGCTGGCCCCGCGGCGGCAGGTGCGCGTGGCACGCAAGCCGCGCATGCTGGTGTGTGCGCCGTCCAACGCGGCAGTGGACGAGCTGCTGTCGCGTGTGCTCTCCAAGGGCTTCCTGGACGGCGAGATGCGCACCTACCGGCCGGATGTCGCGCGCGTTGGTGCCGAGGCCACCACCCCCGCTGCTCAGGTGGAGAGGAGGGGGGGGGTGTGGTGATGGGATTGGGTCGTATGAAAAGAGCTTCAAGATGACTCGTGACACACAAGTCCACACCGCAAATCTTCCTGGCTGACTTCGTTGCTGCTGTTTGGGTGGGAGAGTCAGAGTGGCTCCTCGCTCGCCCCTTCCGGACCTCGCTCCTCACCTCCTCTCACACCCCTTTTCCCCCTCCCGCCCTCCCATGCGCCCCCATCGCCCCAGGCGGTATCGGTGGAGAGGAGGTCGCAGCAGCTGCTGCAGATGCCACCGGAGGAGGCCGCCCACCACGTGGCGGCGCTCCGCCACAAGGAGGGCCAGCTGGCATGCCACGTCAGCGTGCTGCAGCGCCAGATCCGCGAGCTCGTGGAGGCGGGGGGAAGGGGGAGCGGGGACGGGGGGAGTGCGGTGGGGATGGATCCAGAGATGTTGGTGCAGCGGGAGCGGGAGAGAGACGCCCTCGTGCAGCGATTGGCGGTGAGTGCAGGGATTGGCAGTGAGTGCAGCGACTGGCAGTGAGTGCAGCGACTGGCAGTGAGTGCAGCGACTGGCGGTGAGTGCAGCGACTGGCGGTGAGTGCAGCGATTGGCGGTGAGTGCATCGATTGGCGGTGAGTGCAGCGACTGGCAGTGAGTGCAACGACTGGCAGTGAGTGCAGCGACTGGCAGTGAGTGCAGCGACTGGCGGTGAGTGCAGCGACTGGCGGTGAGTGCAGCGATTGGCGGTGAGTGCAGCGATTGGCAGTGAGTGCAGCGATTGGCGGTGAGTGCAGCGATTGGCGGTGAGTGCAGCGATTGGCGGTGAGTGCAGCGACTGGCGGTGATGCAGCGACTGGCAGTGAGTGCAGCGATTGGCAGTGAGTGCAGCGACTGGCAGTGAGTGCAGCGACTGGCAGTGAGTGCAGCGATTGGCGGTGAGTGCAGCGATAGGCATTGAGTGCAGCGACTGGCAGTGAGTGCAGCGACTGGCGGTGAGTGCAGCGATTGGCGGTGAGTGCAGCGACTGGCGGTGAGTGCAGCGACTGGCAGTGAGTGCAACGACTGGCAGTGAGTGCAGCGATTGGGAGTGAGTGCAGCGACTGGCAGTGAGTGCAGCGACTCGCGGTGAGTGCAGCGACTGGCGGTGAGTGCAGCGACTGGCGGTGAGTGCAGCGACTGGCGGTGAGTGCAGCGACTGGCGGTGAGTGCAGCGACTGGCGGTGAGTGCAGTGATTGGCGGTGAGTGCAGCGATTGGCGGTGAGTGCAGCGATTGGCGGTGAGTGCAGCGATTGGCGGTGAGTGCAGCGATTGGCGGTGAGTGCAGCGACTGGCGGTGAGTGCAGCGACTGGCGGTGAGTGCAGCGACTGGCGGTGAGTGCAGCGACTGGCGGTGAGTGCAGCGACTGGCAGTGAGTGCAGCGATTGGCAGTGAGTGCAGCGACTGGCAGTGAGTGCAGCGACTGGCAGTGAGTGCAGCGACTGGCGGTGAGTGCAGCGACTGGCGGTGAGTGCAGCGACTGGCGGTGAGTGCAGCGACTGGCGGTGAGTGCAGCGATTGGCGGTGAGTGCATCGATTGGCGGTGAGTGCAGCGACTGGCAGTGAGTGCAACGACTGGCAGTGAGTGCAGCGACTGGCAGTGAGTGCAACGGCTGGCGGTGAGTGCAGCGACTGGCGGTGAGTGCAGCGATTGGCGGTGAGTGCAGCGACTGGCGGTGAGTGCAGCGACTGGCGGTGAGTGCAGCGACTGGCAGTGAGTGCAACGACTGGCAGTGAGTGCAGCGATTGGCGGTGAGTGCAGCGATATGCATTGAGTGCAGCGACTGGCAGTGAGTGCAGCGACTGGCGGTGAGTGCAGCGATTGGCGGTGAGTGCAGCGACTGGCGGTGAGTGCAGCGACTGGCGGTGAGTGCAGCGACTGGCAGTGAGTGCAACGACTGGCAGTGAGTGCAGCGACTGGCGGTGAGTGCAGCGACTGGCGGTGAGTGCAGCGACTGGCGGTGAGTGCAGCGACTGGCGGTGAGTGCAGCGACTGGCGGTGAGTGCAGCGACTGGCGGTGAGTGCAGCGACTGGCGGTGAGTGCAGCGATTGGCGGTGAGTGCATCGATTGGCGGTGAGTGCAGCGACTGGCGGTGAGTGCAGCGACTGGCGGTGAGTGCAGCGACTGGCGGTGAGTGCAGCGACTGGCGGTGAGTGCAGCGATTGGCGGTGAGTGCAGCGATTGGCGGTGAGTGCAGCGATTGGCGGTGAGTGCAGCGATTGGCGGTGAGTGCAGCGACTGGCGGTGAGTGCAGCGACTGGCGGTGAGTGCAGCGACTGGCAGTGAGTGCAGCGATTGGCAGTGAGTGCAGCGACTTTCAGTGAGTGCAGCGACTGGCGGTGAGTGCAGCGACTGGCGGTGAGTGCAGCGACTGGCGGTGAGTGCAGCGACTGGCGGTGAGTGCAGCGACTGGCGGTGAGTGCAGCGATTGGCGGTGAGTGCATCGATTGGCGGTGAGTGCAGCGACTGGCGGTGAGTGCAGCGACTGGCGGTGAGTGCAGCGACTGGCGGTGAGTGCAGCGACTGGCGGTGAGTGCAGCGATTGGCGGTGAGTGCAGCGATTGGCGGTGAGTGCAGCGATTGGCGGTGAGTGCAGCGATTGGCGGTGAGTGCAGCGACTGGCGGTGAGTGCAGCGACTGGCGGTGAGTGCAGCGACTGGCAGTGAGTGCAGCGATTGGCAGTGAGTGCAGCGACTTTCAGTGAGTGCAGCGACTGGCGGTGAGTGCAGCGACTGGCGGTGAGTGCAGCGACTGGCAGTGAGTGCAGCGACTGGCGGTGAGTGCAGCGACTGGCGGTGAGTGCAGCGATTGGCGGTGAGTGCATCGATTGGCGGTGAGTGCAGCGACTGGCAGTGAGTGCAACGACTGGCAGTGAGTGCAGCGACTGGCAGTGAGTGCAGCGGCTGGCGGTGAGTGCAGCGATTGGCGGTGAGTGCAGCGATTGGCAGTGAGTGCAGCGATTGGCGGTGAGTGCAGCGATTGGCGGTGAGTGCAGCGATTGGCGGTGAGTGCAGCGACTGGCGGTGAGTGCAGCGACTGGCAGTGAGTGCAGCGATTGGCAGTGAGTGCAGCGACTGGCAGTGAGTGCAGCGACTGGCAGTGAGTGCAGCGATTGGCGGTGAGTGCAGCGATAGGCATTGAGTGCAGCGACTGGCGGTGAGTACAGCGACTGGCGGTGAGTGCAGCGACTGGCGGTGAGTGCAGCGACTGGCGGTGAGTGCAGCGACTGGCGGTGAGTGCAGCGACTGGCGGTGAGTGCAGCGATTGGCGGTGAGTGCATCGATTGGCGGTGAGTGTAGCGACTGGCAGTGAGTGCAACGACTGGCAGTGAGTGCAGCGACTGGCAGTGAGTGCAGCGGCTGGCGGTGAGTGCAGCGACTGGCGGTGAGTGCAGCGATTGGCGGTGAGTGCAGCGATTGGCAGTGAGTGCAGCGATTGGCGTTGAGTGCAGCGATTGGCGGTGAGTGCAGCGATTGGCGGTGAGTGCAGCGACTGGCGGTGAGTGCAGCGACTGGCAGTGAGTGCAGCGATTGGCAGTGAGTGCAGTGACTGGCAGTGAGTGCGGCGACTGGCAGTGAGTGCAGCGATTGGCGGTGAGTGCAGCGATAGGCATTGAGTGCAGCGACTGGCAGTGAGTGCAGCGACTGGCGGTGAGTGCAGCGATTGGCGGTGAGTGCAGCGACTGGCGGTGAGTGCAGCGACTGGCGGTGAGTGCAGCGACTGGCAGTGAGTGCAACGACTGGCAGTGAGTGCAGCGATTGGGAGTGAGTGCAGCGACAGGCAGTGAGTGCAGCGACTCGCGGTGAGTGCAGCGACTGGCAGTGAGTGCAGCGACTGGCAGTGAGTGCAGCGACTGGCGGTGAGTGCAGCGATTGGCGGTGAGTGCAGCGACTGGCGGTGAGTGCAGCGACTGGCGGTGAGTGCAGCGACTGGCAGTGAGTGCAACGACTGGCAGTGAGTGCAGCGATTGGCGGTGAGTGCAGCAATAGGCATTGAGTGCAGCGACTGGCAGTGAGTGCAGCGACTGGCGGTGAGTGCAGCGATTGGCGGTGAGTGCAGCGACTGGCGGTGAGTGCAGCGACTGGCGGTGAGTGCAGCGACTGGCAGTGAGTGCAACGACTGGCAGTGAGTGCAGCGACTGGCGGTGAGTGCAGCGACTGGCGGTGAGTGCAGCGACTGGCGGTGAGTGCAACGACTGGCGGTGAGTGCAGTGACTGGCGGTGAGTGCAGCGACTGGCAGTGAGTGCAACGACTGGCAGTGAGTGCAGCGATTGGGAGTGAGTGCAGCGACTGGCAGTGAGTGCAGCGACTCGCGGTGAGTGCAGCGACTGGCGGTGAGTGCAGCGATTGGCGGTGAGTGCAGCGATTGGCGGTGAGTGCAGCGATTGGCGGTGAGTGCAGCGATTGGCGGTGAGTGCAGCGATTGGCGGTGAGTGCAGCGATTGGCGGTGAGTGCAGGGACTGGCGGTGAGTGCAGTGACTGGCGGTGAGTGCAGCGACTGGCAGTGAGTGCAACGACTGGCGGTGAGTGCAGCGATTGGCGGTGAGTACAGCGATTGGCGGTGAGTGCAGCGATTGGCGGTGATTGCAGCGATTGGCGGTGAGTGCAGCGACTGGCGGTGAGTGCAGCGACTGGCGGTGAGTGCAGCGACTGGCGGTGAGTGCAGCGACTGGCAGTGAGTGCAACGACTGACAGTGAGTGCAGCGACTGGCGGTGAGTGCAGCGACTGGCGGTGAGTGCAGCGACTGGCGGTGAGTGCAGCGACTGGCGGTGAGTGCAGCGACTGGCGGTGAGTGCAGCGACTGGCAGTGAGTGCAACGACTGGCAGTGAGTGCAGCGATTGGGAGTGAGTGCAGCGACTGGCAGTGAGTGCAGCGACTCGCGGTGAGTGCAGCGACTGGCGGTGAGTGCAGCGATTGGCGGTGAGTGCAGCGATTGGCGGTGAGTGCAGCGATTGGCGGTGAGTGCAGCGATTGGCGGTGAGTGCAGCGATTGGCGGTGAGTGCAGCGATTGGCGGTGAGTGCAGGGACTGGCGGTGAGTGCAGCGACTGGCGGTGAGTGCAGCGACTGGCAGTGAGTGCAACGACTGGCGGTGAGTGCAGCGATTGGCGGTGAGTGCAGCGATTGGCGGTGAGTGCAGCGATTGGCGGTGATTGCAGCGATTGGCGGTGAGTGCAGCGACTGGCGGTGAGTGCAGCGACTGGCGGTGAGTGCAGCGACTGGCGGTGAGTGCAGCGATTGGCGGTGAGTGCATCGATTGGCGGTGAGTGCAGCGATAGGCATTGAGTGCAGCGACTGGCAGTGAGTGCAGCGACTGGCGGTGAGTGCAGCGACTGGCGGTGAGTGCAGCGACTGGCAGTGAGTGCAGCGATTGGCAGTGAGTGCAGCGACTGGCAGTGAGTGCAGCGATTGGCAGTGAGTGCAGCGACTGGCGGTGAGTGCAGCGACTGGCGGTGAGTGCAGCGACTGGCGGTGAGTGCAGCGACTGGCGGTGAGTGCAGCGATTGGCGGTGAGTGCAGCGATTGGCGGTGAGTGCAGCGATTGGCGGTGATTGCAGCGATTGGCGGTGAGTGCAGCGACTGGCGGTGAGTGCAGCGACTGGCGGTGAGTGCAGCGACTGGCGGTGAGTGCAGCGACTGGCAGTGAGTGCAACGACTGACAGTGAGTGCAGCGACTGGCGGTGAGTGCAGCGACTGGCGGTGAGTGCAGCGACTGGCGGTGAGTGCAGCGACTGGCGGTGAGTGCAGCGACTGGCGGTGAGTGCAGCGACTGGCAGTGAGTGCAACGACTGGCAGTGAGTGCAGCGATTGGGAGTGAGTGCAGCGACTGGCAGTGAGTGCAGCGACTCGCGGTGAGTGCAGCGACTGGCGGTGAGTGCAGCGATTGGCGGTGAGTGCAGCGATTGGCGGTGAGTGCAGCGATTGGCGGTGAGTGCAGCGATTGGCGGTGAGTGCAGCGATTGGCGGTGAGTGCAGCGATTGGCGGTGAGTGCAGGGACTGGCGGTGAGTGCAGCGACTGGCGGTGAGTGCAGCGACTGGCAGTGAGTGCAACGACTGGCGGTGAGTGCAGCGATTGGCGGTGAGTGCAGCGATTGGCGGTGAGTGCAGCGATTGGCGGTGATTGCAGCGATTGGCGGTGAGTGCAGCGACTGGCGGTGAGTGCAGCGACTGGCGGTGAGTGCAGCGACTGGCGGTGAGTGCAGCGATTGGCGGTGAGTGCATCGATTGGCGGTGAGTGCAGCGATAGGCATTGAGTGCAGCGACTGGCAGTGAGTGCAGCGACTGGCGGTGAGTGCAGCGACTGGCGGTGAGTGCAGCGACTGGCAGTGAGTGCAGCGATTGGCAGTGAGTGCAGCGACTGGCAGTGAGTGCAGCGATTGGCAGTGAGTGCAGCGACTGGCGGTGAGTGCAGCGACTGGCGGTGAGTGCAGCGACTGGCGGTGAGTGCAGCGACTGGCGGTGAGTGCAGCGATTGGCGGTGAGTGCAGCGATTGGCGGTGAGTGCAGCGATTGGCGGTGAGTGCAGCGATTGGCGGTGAGTGCAGCGACTGGCGGTGAGTGCAGCGACTGGCGGTGAGTGCAGCGACTGGCGGTGAGTGCAACGACTGGCGGTGAGTGCAACGACTGGCGGTGAGTGCAGCGATTGGCGGTGAGTGCAGCGATTGGCGGTGAGTGCAGCGATTGGCGGTGAGTGCAGCGACTGGCGGTGAGTGCAGCGACTGGCGGTGAGTGCAGCGACTGGCGGTGAGTGCAGCGACTGGCGGTGAGTGCAGCGATTGGCGGTGAGTGCATCGATTGGCGGTGAGTGCAGCGATAGGCATTGAGTGCAGCGACTGGCAGTGAGTGCAGCGACTGGCGGTGAGTGCAGCGACTGGCGGTGAGTGCAGCGACTGGCAGTGAGTGCAGCGATTGGCAGTGAGTGCAGCGACTGGCAGTGAGTGCAGCGATTGGCAGTGAGTGCAGCGACTGGCGGTGAGTGCAGCGACTGGCGGTGAGTGCAGCGACTGGCGGTGAGTGCAACGACTGGCGGTGAGTGCAGCGATTGGCGGAGAGTGCATCGATTGGCGGTGAGTGCAGCGACTGGCAGTGAGTGCAACGACTGGCAGTGAGTGCAGCGACTGGCAGTGAGTGCAACGGCTGACGGTGAGTGCAGCGACTGGCGGTGAGTGCAGCGATTGGCGGTGAGTGCAGCGACTGGCGGTGAGTGCAGCGACTGGCGGTGAGTGCAGCGACTGGCAGTGAGTGCAATGACTGGCAGTGAGTGCAGCGATAGGCATTGAGTGCAGCGACTGGCAGTGAGTGCAGCGACTGGCGGTGAGTGCAGCGATTGGCGGTGAGTGCAGCGACTGGCGGTGAGTGCAGCAACTGCAGCAACCTGGCAGTGAGTGCAAGCGACTGGCAGTGAGTGCAGCGACTGGCGGTGAGTGCAGCGACTGGCGGTGAGTGCAGCGATTGGCGGTGAGTGCAGCGATTGGCGGTGAGTGCAGCGATTGGCGGTGAGTGCAGCGATTGGCGGTGAGTGCAGCGATTGGCGGTGAGTGCAGCGACTGGCGGTGAGTGCAGCGACTGGCGGTGAGTGCAGCGACTGGCAGTGAGTGCAGCGATTGGCAGTGAGTGCAGCGACTGGCAGTGAGTGCAGCGACTGGCGGTGAGTGCAGCGACTGGCGGTGAGTGCAGCGACTGGCGGTGAGTGCAGCGACTGGCGGTGAGTGCAGCGACTGGAGGTGAGTGCAGCGATTGGCGGTGAGTACATCGATTGGCGGTGAGTGCAGCGACTGGCAGTGAGTGCAATGACTGGCAGTGAGTGCAGCGACTGGCAGTGAGTGCAGCGGCTGGAGGTGAGTGCAGCGATTGGCGGTGAGTGCAGCGATTGGCAGTGAGTGCAGCGATTGGCAGTGAGTGCAGCGATTGGCAGTGAGTGCAGCGATTGGCGGTGAGTGCAGCGACTGGCGGTGAGTGCAGCGACTGGCGGTGAGTGCAGCGACTGGCGGTGAGTGCAGCGACTGGCGGTGAGTGCAGCGATTGGCGGTGAGTGCATCGATTGGCGGTGAGTGCAGCGATAGGCATTGAGTGCAGCGACTGGCAGTGAGTGCAGCGACTGGCGGTGAGTGCAGCGACTGGCGGTGAGTGCAGCGACTGGCAGTGAGTGCAGCGATTGGCAGTGAGTGCAGCGACTGGCAGTGAGTGCAGCGATTGGCAGTGAGTGCAGCGACTGGCGGTGAGTGCAGCGACTGGCGGTGAGTGCAGCGACTGGCGGTGAGTGCAGCGACTGGCGGTGAGTGCAGCGATTGGCGGAGAGTGCATCGATTGGCGGTGAGTGCAGCGACTGGCAGTGAGTGCAACGACTGGCAGTGAGTGCAGCGACTGGCAGTGAGTGCAACGGCTGACGGTGAGTGCAGCGACTGGCGGTGAGTGCAGCGATTGGCGGTGAGTGCAGCGACTGGCGGTGAGTGCAGCGACTGGCGGTGAGTGCAGCGACTGGCAGTGAGTGCAACGACTGGCAGTGAGTGCAGCGATAGGCATTGAGTGCAGCGACTGGCAGTGAGTGCAGCGACTGGCGGTGAGTGCAGTGATTGGCGGTGAGTGCAGCGACTGGCGGTGAGTGCAGCAACTGGCAGTGAGTGCAACGACTGGCAGTGAGTGCAGCGACTGGCGGTGAGTGCAGCGACTGGCGGTGAGTGCAGCGACTGGCGGTGAGTGCAGCGACTGGCGGTGAGAGCAGCGACTGGCGGTGAGTGCAGCGACTGGCGGTGAGTGCAGCGACTGGCGGTGAGTGCAGCGACTGGCGGTGAGTGCAGCGATTGGCGGTGAGTGCAGCGATTGGCGGTGAGTGCAGCGATTGGCGGTGAGTGCAGCGATTGGCGGTGAGTGCAGCGACTGGTGGTGAGTGCAGCGATTGGCGGTGAGTGCAGCGACTGGCGGTGAGTGCAGCGACTGGCAGTGAGTGCAGCGATTGGCAGTGAGTGCAGCGACTGGCAGTGAGTGCAGCGACTGGCAGTGAGTGCAGCGATTGGCGGTGAGTGCAGCGATAGGCATTGAGTGCAGCGACTGGCAGTGAGTGCAGCGACTGGCGGTGAGTGCAGCGATTGGCGGTGAGTGCAGCGACTGGCGGTGAGTGCAGCAACTGGCGGTGAGTGCAGCGACTGGCAGTGAGTGCAACGACTGGCAGTGAGTGCAGCGATTGGGAGTGAGTGCAGCGACAGGCAGTGAGTGCAGCGACTCGCGGTGAGTGCAGCGACTGGCAGTGAGTGCTGCGACTGGCAGTGAGTGCAGCGATTGGCGGTGAGTGCAGCGATAGGCATTGAGTGCAGCGACTGGCAGTGAGTGCAGCGACTGGCGGTGAGTGCAGCGACTGGCGGTGAGTGCAGCGACTGGCAGTGAGTGCAGCGACTGGCAGTGAGTGCAGCGACTACCAGTGAGTGCTGCGACTGGCGGTGAGTGCAGCGACTGGCGGTGAGTGCAGCGACTGGCGGTGAGTGCAGCGACTGGCGGTGAGTGCAGCGATTGGCGGTGAGTGCAGCGATTGGCGGTGAGTGCAGCGATTGGCAGTGAGTGCAGTGATTGGCGGTGAGTGCAGCGACTGGCGGTGAGTGCAGCGACTGGCGGTGAGTGCAGCGACTGGCGGTGAGTGCAGCGACTGGCGGTGAGTGCAGCGATTGGCGGTGAGTGCAGCGATTGGCGGTGAGTGCAGCGATTGGCGGTGAGTGCAGCGATTGGCGGTGAGTGCAGCGACTGGCGGTGAGTGCAGCGACTGGCGGTGAGTGCAGCGACTGGCAGTGAGTGCAGCGATTGGCAGTGAGTGCAGCGACTGGCAGTGAGTGCAGCGACTGGCAGTGAGTGCTGCGATTGACAGTGAGTGCAGCGACTGGCGGTGAGTGCAGCGACTGGCGGTGAGTGCAGCGACTGGCGGTGAGTGCAGCGATTGGCGATGAGTGCAGCGATTGTCGGTGAGTGCATCGATCGGCGGTGAGTGCAGCGATTGGCGGTGAGTGCAACGACTGGCAGTGAGTGCAGCGACTGGCAGTGAGTGCAGCGACTGGCGGTGAGTGCAGCGACTAGCGGTGAGTGCAGCGATTGGCGGTGAGTGAAGCGATTGGCCGTGAGTGCAGCGATTGGCGGTGAGTGCAGCGATTGGCGGTGAGTCCAGCGATTGGCGGTGAGTGCAGCGATTGGCAGTGAGTGCAGCGACTGGCGGTGAGTGCAGCGACTGGCAGTGAGTGCAGCGATTGGCAGTGAGTGCAGCGACTGGCAGTGAGTGCAGCGACTGGCAGTGAGTGCAGCGATTGGCGGTGAGTGCAGCGATAGGCATTGAGTGCAGCGACTGGCAGTGAGTGCAGCGACTGGCGGTGAGTGCAGCGATTGGCGGTGAGTGCAGCGACTGGCGGTGAGTGCAGCGACTGGCGGTGAGTGCAGCGACTGGCGGTGAGTGCAGCGACTGGCGGTGAGTGCAGCGATTGGCGGTGAGTGCCGCGATTGGCGGTGAGTGCAGCGATTGGCGGTGAGTGCAGCGATTGGCGGTGAGTGCAGCGATTGGCGGTGAGTGCAGCGATTGGCGGTGAGTGCAGCGACTGGCGGTGAGTGCAGCGACTGGCGGTGAGTGCAGCGACTGGCGGTGAGTGCAGCGACTGGCGGTGAGTGCAGCGATTGGCGGTGAGTGCAGCGATTGGCGGTGAGTGCAGCGATTGGCGGTGAGTGCAGCGATTGGCGGTGAGTGCAGCGATTGGCGGTGAGTGCAGCGACTGGCGGTGAGTGCAGCGACTGGCGGTGAGTGCAGCGACTGGCGGTGAGTGCAGCGACTGGCGGTGAGTGCAGCGACTGGCGGTGAGTGCAGCGACTAGCGGTGAGTGCAGCGATTGGCGGTGAGTGCAGCGATTGGCGATGAGTGCAGCGATTGGCGGTGAGTGCAGCGATTGGCGGTGAGTGCAGCGACTGGCAGTGAGTGCAGCAAGTGGCAGTGAGTGCAGCGACTGGCAGTGAGTGCAGCGACTGGCAGTGAGTGCAGCGATTGGCGGTGAGTGCAGCGATTGGCATTGAGTGCAGCGACTGGCAGTGAGTGCAGCGACTGGCGGTGAGTGCAGCGACTGGCGGTGAGTGCAGCGACTGGCAGTGAGTGCAGCGACTGGCTGTGAGTGCAGCGACTGGCGGTGAGTGCAGCGACTGGCAGTGAGTGCAACGACTGGCGGTGAGTGCAGCGACTGGGAGTGAGTGCAGCGACTGGCAGTGAGTGCAGCGACTCGTGGTGAGTGCAGCGACTGGCGGTGAGTGCAGCGTCTGGCAGTGAGTGCAGCGACTGGCGGTGAGTGCAGCGACTGGCGGTGAGTGCAGCGACTGGCAGTGAGTGCAACGACTGGCAGTGAGTGCGGCGATTGGGAGTGAGTGCAGCGACTGGCAGTGAGTGCAGCGACTCGCGGTGAGTGCAGCGACTGGCGTTGAGTGCAGTGATTGGCAGTGAGTGCAGCGACTGGCGGTGAGTGCAGCGACTGGCGGTGAGTGCAGCGATTGGCGGTGAGTGCAGCGACTGGCAGTGAGTGCAGCGACTGGCAGTGAGTGCAGCGACTCGCGGTGAGTGCAGCGATTGGCGGTGAGTGCAGCGATTGGCGGTGAGTGCAGCGATTGGCGATGAGTGCAGCGATTGGCGGTGAGTGCAGCGATTGGCGGTGAGTGCAGCGACTGGCAGTGAGTGCAGCAAGTGGCAGTGAGTGCAGCGACTGGCAGTGAGTGCAGCGACTGGCAGTGAGTGCAGCGATTGGCGGTGAGAGCAGCGACTGGCGGTGAGTGCAGCGACTGGCGGTGAGTGCAGCGACTGGCGGTGAGTGCAGCGACTGGCGGTGAGTGCAGCGATTGGCGGTGAGTGCAGCGATTGGCGGTGAGTGCAGCGATTGGCGGTGAGTGCAGCGATTGGCGGTGAGTGCAGCGACTGGCGGTGAATGCAGCGACTGGCGGTGAGTGCAGCGACTGGCAGTGAGTGCAGCGATTGGCAGTGAGTGCAGCGACTGGCAGTGAGTGCAGCGACTGGCGGTGAGTGCAGCGACTGGCGGTGAGTGCAGCGACTGGCGGTGAGTGCAGCGACTGGCGGTGAGTGCAGCGACTGGAGGTGAGTGCAGCGATTGGCGGTGAGTGCAGCGATTGGCGGTGAGTGCAGCGATTGGCGATGAGTGCAGCGATTGGCGGTGAGTGCAGCGATTGGCGGTGAGTGCAGCGACTGGCAGTGAGTGCAGCAAGTGGCAGTGAGTGCAGCGACTGGCAGTGAGTGCAGCGACTGGCAGTGAGTGCAGCGATTGGCGGTGAGAGCAGCGACTGGCGGTGAGTGCAGCGACTGGCGGTGAGTGCAGCGACTGGCGGTGAGTGCAGCGACTGGCGGTGAGTGCAGCGATTGGCGGTGAGTGCAGCGATTGGCGGTGAGTGCAGCGATTGGCGGTGAGTGCAGCGATTGGCGGTGAGTGCAGCGACTGGCGGTGAGTGCAGCGACTGGCGGTGAGTGCAGCGACTGGCAGTGAGTGCAGCGATTGGCAGTGAGTGCAGCGACTGGCAGTGAGTGCAGCGACTGGCGGTGAGTGCAGCGACTGGCGGTGAATGCAGCGACTGGCGGTGAGTGCAGCGACTGGCGGTGAGTGCAGCGACTGGAGGTGAGTGCAGCGATTGGCGGTGAGTACATCGATTGGCGGTGAGTGCAGCGACTGGCAGTGAGTGCAATGACTGGCAGTGAGTGCAGCGACTGGCAGTGAGTGCAGCGGCTGGCGGTGAGTGCAGCGATTGGCGGTGAGTGCAGCGATTGGCAGTGAGTGCAGCGATTGGCGGTGAGTGCAGCGATTGGCGGTGAGTGCAGCGATTGGCGGTGAGTGCAGCGACTGGCGGTGAGTGCAGCGACTGACAGTGAGTGCAGCGATTGGCAGTGAGTGCAGCGACTGGCAGTGAGTGCAGCGACTGGCAGTGAGTGCAGCGATTGGCGGTGAGTGCAGCGATAGGCATTGAGTGCAGCGACTGGCGGTGAGTGCAGCGACTGGCGGTGAGTGCAGCGACTGGCGGTGAGTGCAGCGACTGGCGGTGAGTGCAGCGACTGGCGGTGAGTGCAGCGACTGGCAGTGAGTGCAGCGATTGGCGGTGAGTGCAGCGACTGGCAGTGAGTGCATCGATTGGCGGTGAGTGCAGCGACTGGCAGTGAGTGCAACGACTGGCAGTGAGTGCAGCGACTGGCAGTGAGTGCAGCGATTGGCGGTGAGTGCAGCGATTGGCGGTGAGTGCAGCGACTGGCGGTGAGTGCAGCGACTGACAGTGAGTGCAGCGATTGGCAGTGAGTGCAGCGACTGGCAGTGAGTGCAGCGACTGGCAGTGAGTGCAGCGATTGGCGGTGAGTGCAGCGATAGGCATTGAGTGCAGCGGCTGGCGGTGAGTGCAGCGACTGGCGGTGAGTGCAGCGACTGGCGGTGAGTGCAGCGACTGGCGGTGAGTGCAGCGACTGGCGGTGAGTGCAGCGACTGGCAGTGAGTGCAGCGATTGGCGGTGAGTGCAGCGACTGGCAGTGAGTGCAACGACTGGCAGTGAGTGCAGCGACTGGCAGTGAGTGCAGCGTCTGGCGGTGAGTGCAGCGACTGGCGGTGAGTGCAGCGATTGGCGGTGAGTGCAGCGATTGGCAGTGAGTGCAGCGATTGGCAGTGAGTGCAGCGATTGGTGGTGAGTGCAGCGATTGGCGGTGAGTGCAGCGACTGGCGGTGAGTGCAGCGACTGGCAGTGAGTGCAGCGATTGGCAGTGAGTGCAGCGACTGGCAGTGAGTGCAGCGACTGGCAGTGAGTGCAGCGATTGGCGGTGAGTGCAGCGATAGGCATTGAGTGCAGCGACTGGCAGTGAGTGCAGCGACTGGCGGTGAGTGCAGCGATTGGCGGTGAGTGCAGCGACTGGCGGTGAGTGCAGCAACTGGCGGTGAGTGCAGCGACTGGCAGTGAGTGCAACGACTGGCAGTGAGTGCAGCGATTGGGAGTGAGTGCAGCGACAGGCAGTGAGTGCAGCGACTCGCGGTGAGTGCAGCGACTGGCAGTGAGTGCAGCGACTGGCAGTGAGTGCAGCGATTGGCGGTGAGTGCAGCGATAGGCATTGAGTGCAGCGACTGGCAGTGAGTGCAGCGACTGGCGGTGAGTGCAGCGACTGGCGGTGAGTGCAGCGACTGGCAGTGAGTGCAGCGACTGGCAGTGAGTGCAGCGACTGCCAGTGAGTGCTGCGACTGGCGGTGAGTGCAGCGACTGGCGGTGAGTGCAGCGACTGGCGGTGAGTGCAGCGACTGGCGGTGAGTGCAGCGATTGGCGGTGAGTGCAGCGATTGGCGGTGAGTGCAGCGATTGGCAGTGAGTGCAGTGATTGGCGGTGAGTGCAGCGACTGGCGGTGAGTGCAGCGACTGGCGGTGAGTGCAGCGACTGGCGGTGAGTGCAGCGACTGGCGGTGAGTGCAGCGATTGGCGGTGAGTGCAGCGATTGGCGGTGAGTGCAGCGATTGGCGGTGAGTGCAGCGATTGGCGGTGAGTGCAGCGACTGGCGGTGAGTGCAGCGACTGGCGGTGAGTGCAGCGACTGGCAGTGAGTGCAGCGATTGGCAGTGAGTGCAGCGACTGGCAGTGAGTGCAGCGACTGGCAGTGAGTGCTGCGATTGACAGTGAGTGCAGCGACTGGCGGTGAGTGCAGCGACTGGCGGTGAGTGCAGCGACTGGCGGTGAGTGCAGCGATTGGCGATGAGTGCAGCGATTGTCGGTGAGTGCAGCGACTGGCAGTGAGTGCAGCGATTGGTGGTGAGTGCAGCGATAGGCATTGAGTGCAGCGACTGGCGGTGAGTGCAGCGACTGGCGGTGAGTGCAGCGACTGGCGGTGAGTGCAGCGACTGGCGGTGAGTGCAGCGACTGGCGGTGAGTGCAGCGACTGGCAGTGAGTGCAGCGATTGGCGGTGAGTGCAGCGACTGGCAGTGAGTGCATCGATTGGCGGTGAGTGCAGCGACTGGCAGTGAGTGCAACGACTGGCAGTGAGTGCAGCGACTGGCAGTGAGTGCAGCGTCTGGCGGTGAGTGCAGCGACTGGCGGTGAGTGCAGCGATTGGCGGTGAGTGCAGCGATTGGCAGTGAGTGCAGCGATTGGCAGTGAGTGCAGCGATTGGTGGTGAGTGCAGCGATTGGCGGTGAGTGCAGCGACTGGCGGTGAGTGCAGCGACTGGCAGTGAGTGCAGCGATTGGCAGTGAGTGCAGCGACTGGCAGTGAGTGCAGCGACTGGCAGTGAGTGCAGCGATTGGCGGTGAGTGCAGCGATAGGCATTGAGTGCAGCGACTGGCAGTGAGTGCAGCGACTGGCGGTGAGTGCAGCGATTGGCGGTGAGTGCAGCGACTGGCGGTGAGTGCAGCAACTGGCGGTGAGTGCAGCGACTGGCAGTGAGTGCAACGACTGGCAGTGAGTGCAGCGATTGGGAGTGAGTGCAGCGACAGGCAGTGAGTGCAGCGACTCGCGGTGAGTGCAGCGACTGGCAGTGAGTGCAGCGACTGGCAGTGAGTGCAGCGATTGGCGGTGAGTGCAGCGATAGGCATTGAGTGCAGCGACTGGCAGTGAGTGCAGCGACTGGCGGTGAGTGCAGCGACTGGCGGTGAGTGCAGCGACTGGCAGTGAGTGCAGCGACTGGCAGTGAGTGCAGCGACTGCCAGTGAGTGCTGCGACTGGCGGTGAGTGCAGCGACTGGCGGTGAGTGCAGCGACTGGCGGTGAGTGCAGCGACTGGCGGTGAGTGCAGCGATTGGCGGTGAGTGCAGCGATTGGCGGTGAGTGCAGCGATTGGCAGTGAGTGCAGTGATTGGCGGTGAGTGCAGCGACTGGCGGTGAGTGCAGCGACTGGCGGTGAGTGCAGCGACTGGCGGTGAGTGCAGCGACTGGCGGTGAGTGCAGCGATTGGCGGTGAGTGCAGCGATTGGCGGTGAGTGCAGCGATTGGCGGTGAGTGCAGCGACTGGCGGTGAGTGCAGCGACTGGCGGTGAGTGCAGCGACTGGCAGTGAGTGCAGCGATTGGCAGTGAGTGCAGCGACTGGCAGTGAGTGCAGCGACTGGCAGTGAGTGCTGCGATTGACAGTGAGTGCAGCGACTGGCGGTGAGTGCAGCGACTGGCGGTGAGTGCAGCGACTGGCGGTGAGTGCAGCGATTGGCGATGAGTGCAGCGATTGTCGGTGAGTGCATCGATTGGCGGTGATTGCAGCGATTGGCGGTGAGTGCAACGACTGGCAGTGAGTGCAGCGACTGGCAGTGAGTGCAGCGACTGGCGGTGAGTGCAGCGACTAGCGGTGAGTGCAGCGATTGGCGGTGAGTGAAGCGATTGGCCGTGAGTGCAGCGATTGGCGGTGAGTGCAGCGATTGGCGGTGAGTCCAGCGATTGGCGGTGAGTGCAGCGATTGGCAGTGAGTGCAGCGACTGGCGGTGAGTGCAGCGACTGGCAGTGAGTGCAGCGATTGGCAGTGAGTGCAGCGACTGGCAGTGAGTGCAGCGACTGGCAGTGAGTGCAGCGATTGGCGGTGAGTGCAGCGATAGGCATTGAGTGCAGCGACTGGCAGTGAGTGCAGCGACTGGCGGTGAGTGCAGCGATTGGCGGTGAGTGCAGCGACTGGCGGTGAGTGCAGCGACTGGCGGTGAGTGCAGCGACTGGCGGTGAGTGCAGCGACTGGCGGTGAGTGCAGCGATTGGCGGTGAGTGCCGCGATTGGCGGTGAGTGCAGCGATTGGCGGTGAGTGCAGCGATTGGCGGTGAGTGCAGCGATTGGCGGTGAGTGCAGCGATTGGCGGTGAGTGCAGCGACTGGCGGTGAGTGCAGCGACTGGCGGTGAGTGCAGCGACTGGCGGTGAGTGCAGCGACTGGCGGTGAGTGCAGCGATTGGCGGTGAGTGCAGCGATTGGCGGTGAGTGCAGCGATTGGCGGTGAGTGCAGCGATTGGCGGTGAGTGCAGCGATTGGCGGTGAGTGCAGCGACTGGCGGTGAGTGCAGCGACTGGCGGTGAGTGCAGCGACTGGCGGTGAGTGCAGCGACTAGCGGTGAGTGCAGCGATTGGCGGTGAGTGCAGCGATTGGCGGTGAGTGCAGCGATTGGCGGTGAGTGCAGCGATTGGCGGTGAGTGCAGCGATTGGCGATGAGTGCAGCGATTGGCGGTGAGTGCAGCGATTGGCGGTGAGTGCAGCGACTGGCAGTGAGTGCAGCAAGTGGCAGTGAGTGCAGCGACTGGCAGTGAGTGCAGCGACTGGCAGTGAGTGCAGCGATTGGCGGTGAGTGCAGCGATTGGCATTGAGTGCAGCGACTGGCAGTGAGTGCAGCGACTGGCGGTGAGTGCAGCCACTGGCGGTGAGTGCAGCGACTGGCAGTGAGTGCAGCGACTGGCTGTGAGTGCAGCGACTGGCGGTGAGTGCAGCGACTGGCAGTGAGTGCAACGACTGGCAGTGAGTGCAGCGACTGGGAGTGAGTGCAGCGACTGGCAGTGAGTGCAGCGACTCGTGGTGAGTGCAGCGACTGGCGGTGAGTGCAGCGTCTGGCAGTGAGTGCAGCGACTGGCGGTGAGTGCAGCGACTGGCGGTGAGTGCAGCGACTGGCAGTGAGTGCAACGACTGGCAGTGAGTGCGGCGATTGGGAGTGAGTGCAGCGACTGGCAGTGAGTGCAGCGACTCGCGGTGAGTGCAGCGACTGGCGTTGAGTGCAGTGATTGGCAGTGAGTGCAGCGACTGGCGGTGAGTGCAGCGACTGGCGGTGAGTGCAGCGATTGGCGGTGAGTGCAGCGACTGGCAGTGAGTGCAGCGACTGGCAGTGAGTGCAGCGACTCGCGGTGAGTGCAGCGATTCGCGGTGAGTGCAGCGATTGGCGGTGAGTGCAGCGATTGGCGATGAGTGCAGCGATTGGCGGTGAGTGCAGCGATTGGCGGTGAGTGCAGCGACTGGCAGTGAGTGCAGCAAGTGGCAGTGAGTGCAGCGACTGGCAGTGAGTGCAGCGACTGGCAGTGAGTGCAGCGATTGGCGGTGAGAGCAGCGACTGGCGGTGAGTGCAGCGACTGGCGGTGAGTGCAGCGACTGGCGGTGAGTGCAGCGACTGGCGGTGAGTGCAGCGATTGGCGGTGAGTGCAGCGATTGGCGGTGAGTGCAGCGATTGGCGGTGAGTGCAGCGATTGGCGGTGAGTGCAGCGACTGGCGGTGAGTGCAGCGACTGGCGGTGAGTGCAGCGACTGGCAGTGAGTGCAGCGATTGGCAGTGAGTGCAGCGACTGGCAGTGAGTGCAGCGACTGGCGGTGAGTGCAGCGACTGGCGGTGAGTGCAGCGACTGGCGGTGAGTGCAGCGACTGGCGGTGAGTGCAGCGACTGGAGGTGAGTGCAGCGATTGGCGGTGAGTGCAGCGATTGGCGGTGAGTGCAGCGATTGGCGATGAGTGCAGCGATTGGCGGTGAGTGCAGCGATTGGCGGTGAGTGCAGCGACTGGCAGTGAGTGCAGCAAGTGGCAGTGAGTGCAGCGACTGGCAGTGAGTGCAGCGACTGGCAGTGAGTGCAGCGATTGGCGGTGAGAGCAGCGACTGGCGGTGAGTGCAGCGACTGGCGGTGAGTGCAGCGACTGGCGGTGAGTGCAGCGACTGGCGGTGAGTGCAGCGATTGGCGGTGAGTGCAGCGATTGGCGGTGAGTGCAGCGATTGGCGGTGAGTGCAGCGATTGGCGGTGAGTGCAAAGACTGGCGGTGAGTGCAGCGACTGGCGGTGAGTGCAGCGACTGGCAGTGAGTGCAGCGATTGGCAGTGAGTGCAGCGACTGGCAGTGAGTGCAGCGACTGGCGGTGAGTGCAGCGACTGGCGGTGAGTGCAGCGACTGGCGGTGAGTGCAGCGACTGGCGGTGAGTGCAGCGACTGGAGGTGAGTGCAGCGATTGGCGGTGAGTACATCGATTGGCGGTGAGTGCAGCGACTGGCAGTGAGTGCAATGACTGGCAGTGAGTGCAGCGACTGGCAGTGAGTGCAGCGGCTGGCGGTGAGTGCAGCGATTGGCGGTGAGTGCAGCGATTGGCAGTGAGTGCAGCGATTGGCGGTGAGTGCAGCGATTGGCGGTGAGTGCAGCGATTGGCGGTGAGTGCAGCGACTGGCGGTGAGTGCAGCGACTGACAGTGAGTGCAGCGATTGGCAGTGAGTGCAGCGACTGGCAGTGAGTGCAGCGACTGGCAGTGAGTGCAGCGATTGGCGGTGAGTGCAGCGATAGGCATTGAGTGCAGCGGCTGGCGGTGAGTGCAGCGACTGGCGGTGAGTGCAGCGACTGGCGGTGAGTGCAGCGACTGGCGGTGAGTGCAGCGACTGGCGGTGAGTGCAGCGACTGGCAGTGAGTGCAGCGATTGGCGGTGAGTGCAGCGACTGGCAGTGAGTGCAACGACTGGCAGTGAGTGCAGCGACTGGCAGTGAGTGCAGCGTCTGGCGGTGAGTGCAGCGACTGGCGGTGAGTGCAGCGATTGGCGGTGAGTGCAGCGATTGGCAGTGAGTGCAGCGATTGGCAGTGAGTGCAGCGATTGGTGGTGAGTGCAGCGATTGGCGGTGAGTGCAGCGACTGGCGGTGAGTGCAGCGACTGGCAGTGAGTGCAGCGATTGGCAGTGAGTGCAGCGACTGGCAGTGAGTGCAGCGACTGGCAGTGAGTGCAGCGATTGGCGGTGAGTGCAGCGATAGGCATTGAGTGCAGCGACTGGCAGTGAGTGCAGCGACTGGCGGTGAGTGCAGCGATTGGCGGTGAGTGCAGCGACTGGCGGTGAGTGCAGCAACTGGCGGTGAGTGCAGCAACTGGCAGTGAGTGCAACGACTGGCAGTGAGTGCTGCGATTGGGAGTGAGTGCAGCGACAGGCAGTGAGTGCAGCGACTCGCGGTGAGTGCAGCGACTGGCAGTGAGTGCAGCGACTGGCAGTGAGTGCAGCGATTGGCGGTGAGTGCAGCGATAGGCATTGAGTGCAGCGACTGGCAGTGAGTGCAGCGACTGGCGGTGAGTGCAGCGACTGGCGGTGAGTGCAGCGACTGGCAGTGAGTGCAGCGACTGGCAGTGAGTGCAGCGACTGCCAGTGAGTGCTGCGACTGGCGGTGAGTGCAGCGACTGGCGGTGAGTGCAGCGACTGGCGGTGAGTGCAGCGACTGGCGGTGAGTGCAGCGATTGGCGGTGAGTGCAGCGATTGGCGGTGAGTGCAGCGATTGGCAGTGAGTGCAGTGATTGGCGGTGAGTGCAGCGACTGGCGGTGAGTGCAGCGACTGGCGGTGAGTGCAGCGACTGGCGGTGAGTGCAGCGACTGGCGGTGAGTGCAGCGATTGGCGGTGAGTGCAGCGATTGGCGGTGAGTGCAGCGATTGGCGGTGAGTGCAGCGATTGGCGGTGAGTGCAGCGACTGGCGGTGAGTGCAGCGACTGGTGGTGAGTGCAGCGACTGGCAGTGAGTGCAGCGATTGGCAGTGAGTGCAGCGACTGGCAGTGAGTGCAGCGACTGGCAGTGAGTGCTGCGATTGACAGTGAGTGCAGCGACTGGCGGTGAGTGCAGCGACTGGCGGTGAGTGCAGCGACTGGCGGTGAGTGCAGCGATTGGCGATGAGTGCAGCGATTGTCGGTGAGTGCATCGATTGGCGGTGAGTGCAGCGATTGGCGGTGAGTGCAACGACTGGCAGTGAGTGCAGCGACTGGCAGTGAGTGCAGCGACGTGGTGAGTGCAGCGACTAGCGGTGAGTGCAGCGATTGGCGGTGAGTGAAGCGATTGGCCGTGAGTGCAGCGATTGGCGGTGAGTGCAGCGATTGGCGGTGAGTCCAGCGATTGGCGGTGAGTGCAGCGATTGGCAGTGAGTGCAGCGACTGGCGGTGAGTGCAGCGACTGGCAGTGAGTGCAGCGATTGGCAGTGAGTGCAGCGACTGGCAGTGAGTGCAGCGACTGGCAGTGAGTGCAGCGATTGGCGGTGAGTGCAGCGATAGGCATTGAGTGCAGCGACTGGCAGTGAGTGCAGCGACTGGCGGTGAGTGCAGCGATTGGCGGTGAGTGCAGCGACTGGCGGTGAGTGCAGCGACTGGCGGTGAGTGCAGCGACTGGCGGTGAGTGCAGCGACTGGCGGTGAGTGCAGCGATTGGCGGTGAGTGCCGCGATTGGCGGTGAGTGCAGCGATTGGCGGTGAGTGCAGCGATTGGCGGTGAGTGCAGCGATTGGCGGTGAGTGCAGCGATTGGCGGTGAGTGCAGCGACTGGCGGTGAGTGCAGCGACTGGCGGTGAGTGCAGCGACTGGCGGTGAGTGCAGCGACTGGCGGTGAGTGCAGCGATTGGCGGTGAGTGCAGCGATTGGCGGTGAGTGCAGCGATTGGCGGTGAGTGCAGCGATTGGCGGTGAGTGCAGCGATTGGCGGTGAGTGCAGCGACTGGCGGTGAGTGCAGCGACTGGCGGTGAGTGCAGCGACTGGCGGTGAGTGCAGCGACTGGCGGTGAGTGCAGCGACTGGCGGTGAGTGCAGCGACTAGCGGTGAGTGCAGCGATTGGCGGTGAGTGCAGCGATTGGCGGTGAGTGCAGCGATTGGCGGTGAGTGCAGCGATTGGCGGTGAGTGCAGCGATTGGCGATGAGTGCAGCGATTGGCGGTGAGTGCAGCGATTGGCGGTGAGTGCAGCGACTGGCAGTGAGTGCAGCAAGTGGCAGTGAGTGCAGCGACTGGCAGTGAGTGCAGCGACTGGCAGTGAGTGCAGCGATTGGCGGTGAGTGCAGCGATTGGCATTGAGTGCAGCGACTGGCAGTGAGTGCAGCGACTGGCGGTGAGTGCAGCGACTGGCGGTGAGTGCAGCGACTGGCAGTGAGTGCAGCGACTGGCTGTGAGTGCAGCGACTGGCGGTGAGTGCAGCGACTGGCAGTGAGTGCAACGACTGGCAGTGAGTGCAGCGACTGGGAGTGAGTGCAGCGACTGGCAGTGAGTGCAGCGACTCTTGGTGAGTGCAGCGACTGGCGGTGAGTGCAGCGTCTGGCAGTGAGTGCAGCGACTGGCGGTGAGTGCAGCGACTGGCGGTGAGTGCAGCGACTGGCAGTGAGTGCAACGACTGGCAGTGAGTGCGGCGATTGGGAGTGAGTGCAGCGACTGGCAGTGAGTGCAGCGACTCGCGGTGAGTGCAGCGACTGGCGTTGAGTGCAGTGATTGGCAGTGAGTGCAGCGACTGGCGGTGAGTGCAGCGACTGGCGGTGAGTGCAGCGATTGGCGGTGAGTGCAGCGACTGGCAGTGAGTGCAGCGACTGGCAGTGAGTGCAGCGACTCGCGGTGAGTGCAGCGATTGGCGGTGAGTGCAGCGATTGGCGGTGAGTGCAGCGATTGGCGATGAGTGCAGCGATTGGCGGTGAGTGCAGCGATTGGCGGTGAGTGCAGCGACTGGCAGTGAGTGCAGCAAGTGGCAGTGAGTGCAGCGACTGGCAGTGAGTGCAGCGACTGGCAGTGAGTGCAGCGATTGGCGGTGAGTGCAGCGATTGGCATTGAGTGCAGCGACTGGCAGTGAGTGCAGCGACTGGCGGTGAGTGCAGCGACTGGCGGTGAGTGCAGCGACTGGCGGTGAGTGCAGCGATTGGCGGTGAGTGCAGCGATTGGCGGTGAGTGCAGCGATTGGCGGTGAGTGCAGCGATTGGCCATGAGTGCAGCGATTGGCAGTGAGTGCAGCGATTGGCAGTGAGTGCTTGTCTCCAGAATGCTCTGCTGTCCTCTCGGCCATGACATGTGTCCCCATGGAAGGATGTGCTTGAGTGTGCGCAAGAGTATCGCTTCCTTCACAACCCCCTTGCTTCAACCGGCAAAGAGGGCTCTCTCTTCTGTTAAGTTTCTTATGATATTTTTCTTTACTTTCTCCAACTTCCTCCCGACGCCCATCTCACCAACATATGCCTCCTCATGTGCGCGCCATGCCGCGGTGACCATGCCACCAGGCAGCGGTGGAGGAGAGGGAGCAGGTGGGCGTGGAGGTGGGGCGGCTGCTCATCGTGCTGGGGGCGCGGCGGGGCGAGGTGGCAGTGGAGGCAGCGAGAGCACAGCTGGAGGCGAGCTTTGCGGAGGAGGCGGAGGTGGTCTTCACCACCGCCAGTAGTAGCGGCCGCCGGTGAGCCTCGTCCCCCTGCGCCTCTGCAGGTGCCTTGAAAATCAGCAGTTCTTCCTTCTTGTCGCACAGAAGTAGTCATAAGACGGGGCTTCAACAGAAGAAGAGTGCTCAGTGTAGGTTACAGTAATGTACACAGAACCCAATTGTTTAGCAGCAGAGAAAAAGAGCGAGAAACATAGTTGGCCAAGGGAGGCCGCGGGGCTCAGTTGAACATGCAATGCGTGTGAGGCACACGGGGAGGTTACCCTCGTGAAGGCAAGCTCACCAGCACAGGTGAGAGAAATGTAACTTCAGTTTCATGGCGCCTGCTTGCTGAAGGGCATTCGTCTCTATCTTCAAATTGAAGGTAGACTTCTTGAAACGTAGGAAACTTCCCAGCTTCGTCATCTTTCTCCTCGGTAAAAAACCAACCGTCGTCTTAAAAAATTCCAGCAATGAAAAGCTCGTAGTCTTCAGATTCATGAGCTATGTTAGAATGAAGCGTGACTTCTGGGCATGTAGGCGACTTAGATCCTGTGTTCTTCGAATCTGTTTCTGATTCGCGTGGTTGCGGTTTCACGTCTCTTGCAACCAGTCGACTTGTTGGTGAAGCTCCTTCGTTTGCCTTCTTGTCGTCCAGGTAGAAAACCATTTTGTGACTTGGAGCTTTCTCGACAAGCCTTGTGAAGCTGCTCATGCTTTAGTTGCCGTTGAACTGCAGAGAAGGAAGAGAACCTGAAAATATCTTGCCCAGTAATCTCCTTGTACTTCCGACAGTCGCCTTCCATTGTCTTTTTGTCGTCCAGGTAAGAAACATCTTGAACTTCTGAAGTTTTGGAAGCCATTTTTAAAAAAGGTATCTCTTGAAATACCCCTGCCATATGTCCTTGTGACTTGAGGCGATCTGTAATGCTTGCTCGATGAACCTTGTGATGTTTCTCATCAGCTTTTGCTTGCTGTTGAAGTTCTGAAAAGGATGATAGCCTGAAAATATTCCGCTGAGTAATCTCCATATACTTGAACTTCCAACTTCGGGTTGCACCTGTTTTTAATCGCCATCCTGGATGTCGCGCTGCAACCGATGTGACTCTCTTGGAACAGGCAGAGCAATGACATGAAAGTGAGCAGCTCGTCGATTGGTATGAAGGATCTTGCTTGAGTAGCAACGACGACCAGATGTTCTCGGTATGAACATAATTTTGGTGTCGAAAAGAAGCTCTCAAAGCGTAGACCCCGAATATGGTTCTTGAACCTGAGACCGACACTGTTAGCTTAGACATTGTTCTTCTCGAAGGAAGAGCCATGGCGGAGAGGTCGGCTTTGGCTTCATTTGGGGTTTGGCATGGCTTCAAACTGATGCGACGACGGCGGGGAAGCGACGACCCTCTTTCTCACCCCCTCCACCCCCGCCCCCCTCACGCCCCTGGGAGCAGTATATTCGCCCGGTTGGCGCACGGGTTTGACATGTGTGTGTTTGACGAGGCGGCGCAGGCCAGTGAGATGGCGGCCCTACCCCCTCTCACGCTGCGCTGCCAGCGCTGTGTGCTCGTGGGCGACCCCCAGCAGCTGCCCGCCACCGTCATCAGCCGCCTCGCCTCCTCGCTGGACTACAGGTGGGTCGTTCTCGCTGCGCCACAGGTGCTGCAAAAGATGGCATGTCATGCATGCTCAACACTCCAATTGCTTCACCTTCTCAATTGGTTGTTTGTTCACCTATTGTGTATTTCACCATCGCTTTCACTGTCCCCATGCCTCCCCACGCCCGCCCATGCCTGCCCATGCCCGCCCATGCTCCCCCTTCCGCCCCCCAGTCGCTCACTGCTGGAGCGCTTCCAGAGGGCGGGCTGTCCAACACTACTGCTGACGGAGCAGTACCGCATGCACCCGGCCATCCGCGCCTTCCCCAGCCGCTACTTCTACTCCGACCGCCTCACCGACGCGCCCGCCGTCACCGCGCTGCCCGACGAGCCATACCACGCCGACGCGCTGCTGCGCCCGCTGCTCTTCTTTGACGTCAGCGCGGGCCGCGAGTCGCACGGCGAGCGGTCGGTGTCGTACCAGAACACCACCGAGGCCGCACTTGCTGTCGCTCTCTTCCAGGTGCGCCCACGCCTCCTTCTGCGCCCAGGGCTCCTGTCGCACCTCTGCCTGCCACTGCAAGTACACAGGTTTCACACATCTCAAATGAGCCATTGTTTGGATGCTCCTCACTGGCCTCCCACCCACCCATCCGCCCTAAACCCCTGGCAGCGGCTGCAGGAGGTGAGTGCAGCAGCGGGTGCCACGGGACCGGTGCCGGTGGGGGTGGTGACGCCCTACCGCCAGCAGCTCAAGCTGCTGCGCCGCTCCTTCGACCACCTCGCCCGCTCCGCCCCCCCGCCCCCACTGCCGCTGCTTGCCGCCCCTACCACTGCTGCGGTGCAAGCGGCAGGGAATGTTGCTGTCATCCAAGTGCAGCAGCACGAGCAGCAGCAGCAGCAGCAGGGGCAGGGAGGGCCAGACCCAGGCAGTGCTGCGAGGCAGGAGTGGCATCCCGCCCTCCTCGCCGCACCACCACCCCCTTGTGCGCCTGCTGCTGCCGCGGCCCCACGGGTGTCAGTGGCAGCGGTGGCAGCGGGCGGGGCGGCGCTGTACGTGAACACGGTGGATGCCTTCCAGGGGCAGGAGCGCGATGCCATCATCCTCTCCTGCGTGCGCGCCTCCACGCGCGGACTGGGCTTCGTGGCGGACGTGCGCCGCATGAACGTCGCCATCACGCGCGCCAAGCGCTCTCTCTGGGTCAGCCCACCTCTCAATGAGCCACGCCTGCCATTCTTCATGTACCTCTGTGCCACAGTCAGGCACCATCCCGCTCTCCCTGCTGCTGCCTCTTATCCTGCCTAGCTCTCACTGCCCTGCGCCCTTCCCACCGCGCCGTGTGCTGTGCAGATTCTTGGCAACGCAGTGTCGCTGCAGCGCTCACCGGCGTGGGCGGCGCTCATTGACGATGCGAAGCAACGCGGATGCTTCCTCTCCTCCGACTCCTTCGCGCCCACCCTCCTCCCCTCCCTCGCCTCCACAGGCCCCCACCGTTCCTCCCCTCCCCGACGACATCCCCCCCGCCGCCATTCTCCTCGCCGCGTCGCTCCTTCTCGAAATAATTCTGGTTCTGGAGGCAGGAGAGGGGAGGAGGGCGGAGGGGCTGCTGGTGGCAACAGTGGCGCGGCGGGTGACAGGTGGGAGCAGGGCACGGGGAGTAGTGGGGTTCAGGGGCTTTCAGATGGGCGGAGGGGTGAGGAGGTGGGGGAGGAGAGGAGTGCATGGCCAAACCGCCATGAGGGCACACGCAGAGGTGGGCACCGGCAGGGCCATGGGCATGGGTATGGGCATGGGCATGGGCATGGGCATGCGCATGCGCATGGGCATGCTTACCGGGGTGGCCATTCCCGTTACAATGGGCAGAGGTATGCTGGCAGCCAGCAGGCAAAGTCACATGAAGGTGCGGAAGGGCTGCATGAAGGGGAGGCATTGCCTTCTGGGTTTGAGGGGCAGGCTGAGAACGGACGAGAGAGGGACTGGAAGAGACGACGATTGGACAATGGTAAAAGTATGTGATACACAACCGCAGCATACCCTAGATTTAATACCGTCATCGCCTGAATAGTATAGTGGCGAATTGTTGACAGGGGTGTATTAGAAAAGCGCTTTCTTATACTTGTCATTTGTCATCGTTCTTATTTCAACTGGCCATTTACAACATGCAGATCAAGCTAGAAATTGTAAGTGCTAGTACACGTACCAGCAATCATAAATTGTATTTGCTATCGTAAATTGTATTAGCTATCCACCATGGTACTAGCTATCTAATTTTCTTGTTTGAGCAACGACAAGATGTCTCTCGATCCGGCCTCTAGATACCGGGGCCGTTGCTACCGGTATAAGGGAGGGTCTCTGTGTTCACCCTTTTTTTTACAGTCGTTTTATGGGGTGCCCTTCAAACAAAAAATGGTTTTTTTTTTTTTTTTTTTTTTTTTTTTTTTTTTTGTGACACTGATTTTCAGGCAGGCCTGTGTACTCGCCCTGATGACAAAAAAGTTGTCGGGTACCACCTTGATGCGATTTCGAGAAGGGAGGGAGGGGGGGGGGGGGAGGGGAGTGGGGGTACTGACGTGATTTGTGAGTCACTAGAGTGGCGCGTCGCCAAGATGGCTTGCGTCGCTACTGCCACAGTCCCACCAACTGTACCTGGCTCACCTGCATTTTGCCTGCCTGGCGATGACGCACAGCGCCACTGAGGTGTGCATCGTGTAGGAGAGTTCTGCTTGGTCCCTTCCTCCCTCCCCACCATACCCCCTCATATTTGCACCTCCTGCACCGATGGAGCCAGAGTCATGACGGGCACCAGCAATGGCATTGTTGCACGATTCTGGGCGCGGAACCCTATCTCGTATTGTGCCACTGTACCACACGGTATGTGCCTTTGTGTTGTTTCTTAGCTACGTGCGGCCTGTTTGTTCATGTACTACCTACTAACTACATGTTGTACTATTTGTGTTTTGTGTTTGATCAAAGAGGCGTTGGCCAAGTGTGATGCCACACTGAAGGTGCCGGAGTTCAACGTCTTTAACCAGGCGGTGCGGAATGTGGTGGAAGAAGTGTCAAGAAGCAGCGTCAGACACCAGTTTTTTCAGCACCTCCAGGAGTACATCTGCAACACCTACCTGGAGCTGCAGATATCCACGTCGTGCAATGGCTCTCCAGAGGGGGGGGGGAGTGAAGCGGTTTGCCAAGGTTTAGCCAGTGACAATTGTGCTGCTGCACGATATCAAGCACGAGCTCTATGAAGTCGTGACCTCTTTCAAATTCCATATCATGCTCTATTTTCTTGTACACATCCTTGGCATGCTCAATGACCTCAATGCCAAGTTCCAGAAGCACCAGGTAATGTCTCATGTCGTCGCGGGTGTTCATGTATGCCCTTATTGCCATCGATTTAACCACCCTACACAAATTTCTTTCTGCATTCCTTTGTGCAAACCCGTGCCACATGTTGACATTACCGCGCAGTGAATGAAGAAGTGCCGCGAGTGGTTGGGGATGCTAGACCACATGTTCCACCACCGCCTCTATGGTACGCCACCTGCTCGTGCATGAGATGTTATCTTTGTTTGTGAGTATGTGTGTGTACCGGATTGTTGTACTACTACACACCTCCCCCACCCCGCGACCCCCCCTCTCCCTACTCTCATGCCAGGTGTGTGCTTCAAGGCGTGTGAGAGGGAGCTGCCATTGTTTATGCATACGATGGATACCAACCACAGCAACCTGAACTTCCAAAAATCGCTCTTGCGCATGCTCCAGTCATCTGACTTCGCGATAGCAAATGCGAACCTGGTACAGCTGTGGCAGGCTATAGCTGTGCTCCCACTTAGCACTATGGAGTGCGAGTGTGGCTTCAGTTACAAGAACCATGTCAAGTCATGGACATAGAGCTGCCTGGGTGACGCTAGACTGGGCGATCTGGTAACATTAGCACTCTTTCTGAAATGGGTGAATATGGTAAACATGTTCAATGCAAGCAAGGAGTGCCACCCTGCCCAAGCGTACACTTCTAAGCGTATTTTGTTGGAACCAGACTAGACCAGACGAAGGTGAGGGAATGGTTACCTATAAGGAGCAGAGTGGCACATTGTACAAAGGACAGGGGCCTGTTTGTATGGCCGCCTTCCAAACTCACCTCGGAGAAAATTGTCAAACTATAATTGTTATAGTTTGTATTGTTTAGTCTAGGTGTTGTACACCTTGGTTATTGCCAGGGTTAGGTTTGCTATATCTACCCTTGTAATTGCTCATTCTAGTCATTCATTCTTCAGTTACTACTTTGACATGGTATAGAGCTTAGTTCGTTCCCATAAGCCCACCTCCGCACGCCCTGTTCGTTGCTCAATAGCCGCCCGTAGCACGCTCGCCGCCCGTTGGCTCGCTCGTTTTAGGGTTTCACATGCTAGCCGCTCGGTAGCCGCACGTTAGCCACTCGTCCGCCGTCCGTTTGCCGCCCATTCGTCGCCCGTTGCCCGTAGCGCACTCGGCAGGTCCCGTCACGGGCCTGAGATCGTCCCGTATCACGGCCCCCACGGGCCTTAGTCTGTCCCGTGGCATGCCCCCCCAACAGGCGCTTCCATTCGTCCTTAGCGTGGCCCCCACGGATCCTTCGTCCGCCCGTAGTGCGCCCCTATCCCGCGGGCCTTAGGTCGTCCCATAGTGTGGCCTCCGTGGGCCTTAGGTCGTCCCGTAGTGTGGCCCCCGCGGGTCTTAGGTCGTCCCGTAATGCGGCGCCCCTGCGGGCCCTTCGTCCGCCCCATAACACGGTGCCCCCGCGGGCCCTTCATCCGTCCTGTAACGCGCACCCCCCTTCATTTGTCCTGTAGCGCGTCCCCCCCGCGGACCCTTCCCGTCGATCCTAACCCTAGCTCCCGTCACCCGTCGCCCGTTGCCTGTCACTCATCGCCCATAGTTCCTGCCCGTGCGCTCCCCGTAGAGCGAGAGAGCACGCAGCCCTGCGCACGCACCTGCACGCACGCTACTACGCGCACACAGGCCGCGCACTCGGCCGCGCGCTCACACAGCCGCGCCCACGCAATCGCACATATGCAGCCACGCACACCCAGTCGCGCGCGCCCCGTTCCTAGGCCGCCCGTGCCATGTTGATGCGGTGACAGCGGCAGCAGCAGTAGTGGGCGTAGCAACAGTGGCAACAGCACCGGTGGCCGCACCGACAGCAGTGGCCCCAGCAGCAGCAGTGGCCGCGACAGCCGTAGCTGCGTCAGCAGCCGTGGCCGCAACAGCCGTAGCCGCGGCAGCAGCCGTGGCCGCAGCAACAGCAGCAGTGCCTGTGGCAGTCTCCACCGCGGGGTCCTATCGGACCTGACCAATACACACACCGGTACATGGGAGCTGCAGCTGAGGTTGAGACTTGTGTCTCCATGTTAATGTGAGAGTGGTAGCCATGGCTAGCAAGATAGGTTGAATACATATATTAGGAAAAAGTGTCGAGAGACAAAAGTAGGAAACCCTAATTGAACTTAGGGTGTGTTCAGTTTGTACTAGAAACTAAGAAATGAACCTAAACTAAACCAGAAGTGTAACTCGCCCTAAACATGGCGAATTAACAAAGGAACACCACGATAAATGCCAGAGCGAGCTCTAGCCCACTCCAACACACCCCCAGGCTAGGTGAAGCTCTAGAGCAAAACACCTAGCGAACTGGCGCACCCCCAGAAGTAGAGAGACGCGTGAGCCCAAGCTCGCGCACGTAGAAACGGTGCGGCGCACGGAGGAGGGCCTTGGTGAAAGTATCAACAAGGTTGGCAGTAGCGTCCACCTTGCAAAGACGTAAGAAGCCATACTGCACCAGCTCGTGCACGAAGAAGTAGCGGACCTCAATGTGTTTGGTGCGAGCGTGATAGTCAGGATTTTCAGTGAATCATGCTCGCACTGTCACAGGAGAGCGTTACAGAGGGCTGAGACTGACCAAGTTCAGCAAGGAGAAACGAGAGCCAGCGAGCCTCCTGGGCCGCCAATGTGCCTGCGTACAATTCAGCCTCGTAGGTGGAAAGACAGGCAGAGGATGAACGTGTGGAGCGCCAGCTGACAAGGCCACTGCCAAGAGTGAAACCATAACCCTGAGAGGAGCAGCAAACAGGGCGAGAATCAACGTAGGAGGAATCACTGTAACCGGAAAGAATGGGGGGAGAAGAGCCACCAAGAGTGAGTGCAAGTTCAGAGATAGCGAGGAGGTAGCGGAGAACACGCCCAGTGCACGTCAGTGTGGCGACCAAGGCCAACGAAAGGAGATTGGGGCGAGTGCACATCATAGCATACATGAGGGACCCAACGAGCTCAGGATAAGGGCACAGTTCTGAGGAGGGAGCGGGAACGGCAGGGGCAGTAAGCTGATGGTTAGCGGGAAGAGGATTGGAAATATGCTTGGCCTGCGACATGTCAAAACGCTCAAGGACGGGGTGGATGTAAAAGGATTGAGAAAGTGAGATGGTGCAGGCACTACGATTACGACGGATCTCCATGCCAAGGTAATGACAAAGCTCACCAAGATCCTTGCACTAGAGACGCGCATGGAGGGCCTGCTTGACAGCGGCAAGGCCGGCAGAATCTTCAGCGAGGAGCACCAAGACATCAACGTATGCAAGAATGTAAAGCCTGTGGGGGGAGGTGCGAATGAAGAGACTGGGGTCGAAAGAAGAGGTAGAGAAGCCAAGAGAGTGAAGACTAGAGGCGACCTTAGCATGCCACTCGCGCGAGGCCTGTTTAAGACCATACACTGGGCGCTTCAGCTCCCAGACAGTGCCTGGAGGGAACGGGCGAGGAAAGCCTGGGGCGCTTAAGAAAAATGCGTTCATGAAGCTCGCCCTGGAGAAATGCATTGGAGACATCCATGGAGTGAATCTCCCAATCCCAACGGGCGCCTAGATCAAGAAGGAGGCGAAGAGTGGGGAGACGGGCAGTGGCGGAGTAAGTGGAAAAGTAGTCAATGTCTTCACGTTGGGTGAAACCTTTGGCGCAGTAATGGGCTTTGAAGACAGGGAGCTCCCCAGGGA